TAATAATAATAATAATAATAATAATAATAATAATAATAATAATAATAGCAATTTAATTTCTCTGAAAATGTCTCGTTAAACATCTGAATAAACGTAAAGCATAGGGTTACACTATTAAGTATATTTTCAGTATTTCTACAGTTTTCCAAAGATGCATGAATTCTATGCCACAAACTTAAATCTTCTGTGGAGACAGTTTAAAATTTTGGGATCTGATCCCAGATTTTGACTTTAAATCGTGGTTCTAACATAGTGTATCTTTGGTACAATGGAATTTAGACGTACCCTTTAATGTCTTCACCGGAGCTCAAAATAGTCATTTTATTCTGGGGGAAAAAATCCCTAATCTTAAAAAAAAATATTGCCAGGAACAAGTCGCAACAAATTAATAATTAGCCTTTTCTGCAGTTTGAGCTAAGAAGGGATGTATGTTTCTTCTCCTTACTCGGTTAAAGAGAATTTTGCAAGAGTTTCTAATTTCTGGAAATGCTTATTTGGTTGGAATTTTCCATACTTTGAGTCAATCTACATACAAAGAGCTTCAGAACTTACCCCTCCAGGGAAGAAGAAATGTCAGTTCTGAAACTCTCCTTCTAAAAGATCAGCAAATTTAGAACAACACTATAGCATTTTATTGTTTACTTCGTTTCACTTCCTGTCATCCAAAAAACAGGTGTAAAGGAAGCTACGCAACCTAGAAAGTGGTTATGTTCTTGAGTCCAGAGTCTGGCCTGATACAGTGATGCCATCACACCTGTCTTTGCTCTATATGTTCCTAGATCATCGTCCTGGTTGAACAAATTACTGATTATGTCATTTTTTAAAAAAACCAATTCTGCTTTTAAACTAAATTATTACAGCTTGAATAACTTAGCCTATATTAAATCTGCCCATTATTATAATCACTGTAGAGGTTATCTGGAGGCATCTCAAGAGGTTTTGCCTCATTTTTCTTCGGATTCAGAAGGTAAAGATCAGGGACATACGATTTGTTTCTTTTCCTTCTTTATTTTATCAACTTTTCTCAGCTATTTCAAATCAACCCAGCTGTGCCATTTCAAAAGTCTGTCCTTTCGTAGCTTTTTTGAAAATAAATAAATAAATCCTGTCTTTTCCCACCTTGGTTAGACATAAAATATGTGGCTCTTCCCACCAGGATCTACGCTGGCTTCCTAATCCAGCTTTTCTCTTTGAGAACGTCAATGTTTATGTCTTTTGTTGGTTTGTTGGTGTGAAATTAAGCCTCTGTAGACTTCTCAGCTTCAAAGATAGCCCAAGAGAAGTCTACTCCACTGCTTGGGAATGTGAGTGTGTGTTGTGTACCTTCGCTGTTGTTTTACCAGTTTGCGAGCTAATCATTTCACACCTCAAAATTAGCAATAACGGTTGTGTTCCCAAATCAATAACGGTCCATAGTTGCCAAGCCCAGCTCTGTAAAAGGATCCCTAGTTTCAACATTTGGCTAACATCAAATTTCACATTCTCATTTTTTTAAAAAATGGAATTGAGGGAAATGCAACAAGTTGAGTCCAGCCTTAGAAATTTAGCACCCCATAAAAAGTCTGCAAGATGTGGTGGGAAAAAAAGTCAAACTAGCAACCCATCACAGTGTTTCTTTGTCTGCGTGTGGTTCATGAGTGGCAGAGGTGAAGAAGCTCGCCTCTCATTCGAAAGGTTGAGAGTTCAATCCTAAGTAGTGGCAGATATTTCTCTGCTAGGGCGCAAAGAGAAAATTTCTGCTGTGAACTGCACGTAGGTGTCAGAAAGGGCATCCGGCAAGCAAATGCTCAGCAACATCCAGTTGCCCCAACTCCACCCCAAATTAAGGGATAACAGGGCCGTAAAAAGAAAGTGTTTCTTTTTATTGCACATGTGGTGCATCTAAAATGGAGTGTAGCGTTCACACCATCATGGCTGCCATCTTGAATTTTTTGACCACATTCCATGGATTACCTGTGATTGCTACATTTTTTAAAAATGGTGTAGGGTACTGATTGGAATGGGACGAGAAGACTTTTTGGAAGCTTAATGGCTTGTTTCAGAAGGCAGGGCCTTCTTGACAGGGTCAGAGATATTTTTTGTAACCTGTTGCCTGCCTGACAGTGGTTACTCCTGGCAAGCAGCTCCTTACTACTTGCATCTGCCTGTTCTTCTTTGGTTGTTTGTGGCTTACCTGCATGCTGCCAGGGGCAAGAAACCAGGAGTCAAATAGAGTTCACAAGCACTATAGGTTTACTTAATTCTACCTGTACGTAATAATATCTCAAATACTTTGCCATCAGAGAGGAAAAGACCCTGAGAAAGATGGAAGGCAAAAGGAGAAGAGGCTGGCAGAGGATAAGAATTTGAGCTAACTCCAAGGACAAGGGGAGCTGGCATGTTGCAGTCCATGGGGTCGTGAAGAGTCAGATGTGACTTAGTGACTGAACAACAACAAAAATAACACAAGAATTTGAACGACTAATGGTCAAGGCGTATTGACATGAGACAAGAGTCAACAGACTTGAAGGGGAGCTGGACCTAGGGGGTGTAGAGACTCAAAATTGATGCTAAGTTTGATCCCATCCTTGGGCTCGGCCTGGTCATCTCCTACACATCCATCAGAATAAGGATGCCATCCAATGGAATCCAGTGGGAACCAGCTAGGACAGTGGCGGCTAACCTTTTTGGGCTCCTGTGCCAAAAATTGCATGCATGCTTGCATGCTCGTGCTCATGTACCAGCACCCAGAAGGCAATGTGCCCCCCCATACTCCCTATACAATCCCCCCTACCCTCCGCCACCCTCTTACCTGCACTGCACCACACAGCTGATTTTCGGCCAGTTGGAGGCCTTTTTCGAGCTCCCAAAGGCTTGAGGAAGGCTTCTGAAGGCTTCTGCAAGCTTTGCAGGCCAAAAACTAGCCCCGTTTTGTCATTTCCTGTTTTTCTGAAAATACCGGAAGTGATGAAACGGGGCTAGTTTTCGGCCTGCAGAAGCCTTCCTCAAGCCTTTGGGAGCCTGAAAAAGGCCTCAAACTGGCCGAAAATCAGTTGTGAGGCATGCACATGCACACTGAGGTAAGTTTGCCTGAAGCTCATGTTCTGGCACAAATGGTCCTGCGTGCCACAGGTTTACCATCACGGAGCTAGGAGAACAAACTTGATCAGGTCTGTTGAAATAAAGAATGGTTGCAGGAATTGGGCATGGCCAGTCTGGAGAAAAGAAGGACTAGAGGAGACAGGATAGTGGTCTTTCAGTATTTGAAGGACTGCCACAAAGAGGAGAGGGTCAGCTCATTTTCCAAAGCACCTGAAGGCAAGACAATGGATGGAAACTAATCAAGGAGAGAAGAAAGCTGGAATTAAGGAGAAACTTCCTAAAACTGAGGACAATTAACCAGTGGAACTGCTTGCCTCCAGAAGTTGTGGCTTTTAAGAAGAGACTGGACAGCCACTTGTCTGAAATGGTAGAGGGTCTCCTATTTGAGTAGGGGGTTAGACTAGAAGACCTCCAAGGTCCCTTCCAGCTCTATTCTGATTGATTGATTGATTATCTAGCAACAAAACCACGAAGGAAGGAGATTAGATCTCCTGATGGACGTGCAGTCTTCCTTTCTTTTTTCTTTTTAAATATATTTTTATTAAAAGCTTTTTTTTTCTTGATGTAAAATACATGTAGAAATAAGGAGAATGGAAAAAGGGAGAAGGAAATAACGTCAGGATAGAAGGAAAAAGAAGAATAAGAGGCCAGTGACTTCTGACTTTTTCGGTGCAATAACATATTTTAATAAAGTAATAATATCAACTTTTTACTTACGCACAATAGTACAACTGCCTGACATTTCTATAGCAGGAATTCATGTAATTGTCAAAACCCAAAGTCTGATTTTTATTTTGGTTTTCTCTTTCACGCAAAAATGCCAGAAACTGCTTCCAAGTTTCCAATAGCCACAAAACTATTTAAATTGTCTAATCAACTTTGCCATCTCTACCAGTCAAAACTTTCCTATCTTTGCCAGTCCAGGTCAAAATTTCATGTTTCTTTTCTCTCTTTCATACAGAAAGAGAAGCCCAGAAGTGGCTTCCCAGTAACCACAGAAATATGTATATTTTTGTCTCTAATTAGCACAGTCAACTTCTCCATCTTTACCAGTTCTATCATCTTTTCAATCTATTCCTCTATTATGGGTGTTACAGCTGTTCTTTCTTAAGGCAAGAGAAGGCCATACATTAATTGGGATGATGATAATGTAGCAGAAAAATCAGAGAATTTCTTTTTTTTTTAATAGCATGTGGCTCTTGAATTTATTTCCATTGCCATTGATAATCTATTCCAGTTTTCTCTTTCCTAGTTAGCAAACATCATTTAGATCTCTCTCTCTCTCTTGTGTAAGTTTTAACTCCAAAATAAAGGGGAAAAAATGAGGTTTTTCTGTATTGTACTAGAACATGCATGGACCTGGATTCTGTGTTTAAATAATCAAGAAGGCATTATTGCAAACATGAAAGCTGCAGCATTTTGTGGCAACCAAACCATAAGTTAAATTATTCAGTGTCCTGTTTGCACTGAATATTCTATTAATCTGTTTAAACTTTAGTTAACCCAAGAAGGATGAATGTCTCCATCTAAAAATAGATATAGCTAACCATGATTCCTCTGACCATGTTTTCCAAAATGAAAAAGAGAGAGACTTAAATAAAACAGAGCCAGGAAATGAAAACGACAAGCAATTTTTGTTTAGCCTCTCTTTTGCAGTACATTTTTGACATGAGAAAATCGGTACAATTCTCCACTGGCGATTGGGAGTCTTAAATAATAATACAGATAATACAGACCACGGTTGAGATGGACTTAACAGTATTTTGCACTTTTGTGGATTCTGCTTTTTAACAGTGAATATAGTAAATTATTTCAATTATTGGGAGTGGTGTGGTGGCCTAGAGGTGGAACTCTCGCCTCACAATCAGGAGGCTGTGAGTTCGATCCTAGCTAGAGGCAGATATTTCTCTCTCAGCACATTGAGAATCTATCTGCTGAACAAAACTCCACATTGGTGACAGGAAGGGCATCCGGCCAGTAAATACTCAGCTCCATTCAGTTGCCCAGACTCCACCCCACAAGGGTTTAACAATGATAATAGTAAATTATTTCAATCTGCTTTTAATAGTAAGATAGGCCCGAACTGAAAAGTGGTTAGAGAAAAGAGAAGACAAAGGGATGTGTGACCTTTCCAACATAATTGGAAGTGTGAATTATTTTAGTAACCAGATCTCTGCGCCCATAATGACCAATGTAATGAGGATACATTAATGGAACACCTTTGTGAGAGCTAAGAGGAAGGAATACAATAATGAAGTTAGCCATTTGCCACGTAATAAGACAGATAATTTTTTATTAGCTAGAACTGTGGGCAATAGGTGAAAACTAGAGATTAGTAATTAAGGCAACAAGACTTTAAAAATAACCTGCCTTGTAATGGTTTGAGGTAAGACATGGGAAGATTGATATGGATATTAAGATGCGCCAAATAATTGATAATTATTTGCTACCAGGATATAGCAGGAGAGAACAAGAAGTCAAGTATTCTAGATAGATGTGGGGGGCGGGATGTTATTTCCAAAGTCATGATTTTTGGGAATTCATTGATTAGATTAAAAGGACTCTGACTTACAACACATCTAGTATATGGTAATTTATAGTGTAAATAATGGGAGTGCTTGATGATAAAACAATAACCTCGATTGAAAATATGCAAAATATTAGCTGGTGTTAAGACAGAGAATTTTCTTAGTTGAAATGAATCTTTTGAGATGATTCGCAATCATGAATTTTAGAAATTGCCACTTACTGCAAGTGGAGCCGTTGAATTTTTCTACGGTATCATGTTTTACTACATCACGAAGAACCTGAGAAATTGAGGAGATAGAACTGATTGCAAAAGAGGAGCCAGAACAAAATAAAACCAAGATTAAAATGTTAAGCGGGAAAGATCAGGTCCACGCACGAAGGTCCAGTGAAACGGATTTATTGCTACTCATGTCTATGCAGAAGAATCAGCTAAAGCAGGAGCCCTCAAACTTGGCAACTTTAAAACTTGTGGACTTCAACTCCCAGAATTCCTCAGCCAGCATAGCTGGCTGAGGAATTCTGGGAGTTGAAGTCCACAAGTCTTAAAGTTGCCAAGTTTGGAGACCTCTGAACTAAAGGTTAGCACTTGTTTGGAATTAGATAAGAGTCAATGGAAATCAAGGGAGGTTAGACTTGATTCACTTGTGACTACGTAGGGATTCTAGGCTGGTTCCTCTTTTGACTCTGCCTCCAGGTTCTGCCATTCCTGCTCCTACAGCACAGGCGTCAAACTCAACCCGTTACGTTGCCATCATATGATGTATCGCAACATTTTTTGCCTTTGCATAGCTGGAGGAGGCATGGCCTGCACATGATGCCTCTAGCCTGCGGGCCGCCAGTTTGACACCCCTCTGCTACAGGAATAATATTTCAGCTATTTGGAATCACATTTCAGAGAAAAAAACATCCAATTTACTTTTTGGGGGAGATGGAGGGGGGCAGAGGGAGAACAGCCCACTGAAAAAAGCCCATGGAAACTGTTTCTTCCCAAGTCTGCAAATTTCATTGGTGGTGAGAATGGGGGACTCACAGTAATATTAGGGGAGATTGAGGATCTTCCCCAACATTTGGAAGGATGTTGGCACTTGGAGATCTGATGGTGGGAAGTTAAGTTTCCTATATTAGCTTAATTGGTCACTGCAGTACCTGAACTGAAAGTCATTAAATTAGTCAGATATCATAACATTGTAATCAATATATATAAAAGGAAAATACTACTCATGCATCATCACAAAATCTCCAGAACCGTAAAGCCTACAAACTTGAAATTTGGCACATATCTTCCTCTTGGCTTCTAAGGGGCTAAGAAAGGATTTTTCCAAATGACCCTCAGAGCTATTAGTATTTCCTATATTATTATTATTACTAACACACTCTGATGCTAAGGAGTTCTACTCCCTCTCCCCACCTGAAAAGAAATCTCGACCAAATGCAAAACACAAGCAGAGGAGAGGAATTTCAGTTTCAGTTTCATAGCAGCAAGCAGCTTTAGTACAGAACAGTAGAGCTAAGCCATGCCCAGGCTCCTTGCTGTCTCCTTCTTGCTAACACAGCAAATACTGTTACAGTTTCCAAACAGCCCTCAACTCTCTCACACACTGACAGGACGCTAGCCAGATAAATACTGATGGATACTGGTAGGCAGAGGCAGTATTGTTTTCTCCTTATTTTTCTCCCCAAAAACTAAGCCCGACCACATAGTTTCGTAGCGAAGCATGGTTATCGAGCTAATGTGATTATATTTTCTCTTAATGGTATCTTAATTGCCTTGAATTATTGATCAAAATAATAAATTTAAAAAAATCTAATCAGGTTGTTAAGTTTCCTAACTTGTGGCTCTGCACAGATCTGAATTATTTTACACTGCGGGCGCTCATCAGATAGATTTCAGATCTCCCAGAGGTGACCCGTCTTCAGCATTCGGTGTAGTAAATATCGTATTTTATACTCTTGTAGGGTTTGAGGAACAAGCCAAAGAAAACTGGGCATGTGAAGCCTGATCTCATTGACGTGGATCTAGTAAGAGGTAAGGCTTGGTCTCCTCAACCGGAGATGTAATTTCATTCAATAGATACTTGCTTCGTTTTAGTGTTTTTAATGTTCTCTTATTTTAGCGGGCAGGTTTTCTTCATGGGGTGAAACTCCCTATTGGGCGGAGAGGAGTGGGATTTTGGTCAGGTGCAAAGGATTGGGACCATAGGTTAAGTTGCAATTCCGAAAGATTTACCGCTCAAGCCCATTCACGAGGATCAACGCTAAATTGGCGCGAGATAAGAGTTAACAGAACTCAAGGGAGTTAGATGCTTGTGGCAACTTAATGATTCTAGGCTGATGACTCACTTAACCACCCAGTTCGGCCTGCTCTTCTGCAGATTTTCGGTAATTGGGAGCTGTTTCCTAAATATCAGCCCAACATAGCCTGGTTCTTAAGATTGAAACCGTTTATGCTTCTCTGCATCTTATCACTTTTCAACTTGCCAAAAGAACTGTGGGGGAGGTGGGAGGTGAGAAGGAATGTGGGAGGCTTCAACCGTGAGAGCCAAGTTCCCACCAAGGACACTCCTGCAAGGACTCTCCTTCAGCCAAGACATGAACTGTTCTCAAAACAAAAGAACGTTTAATAATTGGACAACGTGATCTCATAATATATAATATTCAATGTGAATGTTATTATATTACCGTATATTACAGTATATTACCATATATTACTGTATATTATCCTATATTATTATATTATATTACCGTATATTGTATTATACTACTGTATATTATATATTATATTATTGTTAATTATATTATATTATATTAATATATTATCATATCATATTATATTAGATACTATCCCTGTATTATAATATATTATTCATATTATATTATTTATATTATATTATTTATATTATATATATTATATTATTTATATTAGATTAGATTTTATATATTAGATATTATTTATTAGATTATATATACAGGTAATCCTCGAATTACAACAGTTCATTTAGTGATCATTCAAAGTTACAGTAGCACTGAAATGACTTATGACCATTTTTCACACTTATGACCGTAGCAGTATTCCCCCTAGTCACGTGATCAAAATTCAGCCGCTTGGCAACCGACTCATTTTTTTACGACGGGGCCACGTGATCCCCTTTCACAACCTTCCGAGAAGCAAAGTCAGAGGGGGAAGTCAGATTCACTTAACAACCGTCTGACTGACTTAACAACTGCAGTATTCCCTTCACCCCTGTGGCACGAAAGGTCGTAACATGGGGCATAGTTCGCCTAAGCAACGTTTCCCTTAGCAACAAAAATGTTGGGCTCCATTGTGGCCGTAAGGCGAGGACGACCCCTACTTATCAATATATTTATTTTAAAAAATGTTTTTTTAAAATTAAGAATATGTTTGTGTGTAACCAGGTCATTGATTCTGCTTCTCTTTAGGGTCGGCCTTTGCAAAAGCAAAACCAGAAAGTCCCTGGACCTCCCTGACTCGAAAGGGAATTGTTAGAGTTGTTTTCTTTCCCTTCTTCTTCAACTGGTGGCTACAAGTGACATCAAAAGTTATATTTTTGTGGCTTCTTTTCCTTTATCTTCTCCAAGGTACGTCTGGATGACAACTTTCTGCCTAAGACATAACGGTAAAGGTTCCCCTCGCACATCCACGCTAGTCATTTCTGGCTCTAGGGTGCGGTGTGCTCATCTCCATTACAAAGCCGAAGAGCCAGCTGTCAAGGCTCCGACAATACACTCCCATTCAAATCATAAGTCTCTAGCTGCATCTTTCAGAGTAAAAGAAAATTGATTTATTAGGAGTGACCATGTTGGCATTACCTGGGTGCAGCCAATACTAAGACACATCATTCATTTCACTCTTGACCCCGGTCTTCCCCCCCCCCACACCCCCGGATGTATTCTCTAATGGGACACATCCATAGACAAGAGTCATCAATCATGCTCTCCAGTAATAATCTTGTACGCCAGAAGCTTTGGCCGCCTAGCTATTATCTATGAAAGCATTTAAGGAATGCACCACTTCCCCTACTCCCTTTCTGCTGGCAACTCTAAAAGACCAGGGAAATATTTTTTGATTTGACATAAAAAAAAGAAGTTTGACAGGGTAATAATAATAATAGCCAGTGGTGCGATTCAACCGGTGTAACAACCGGTTTGGTGAGCGCACTCTTCGCTTTGCGCGTGCTCTACGTTTAAAAAAGCCCATTTGCAACTGATTTACTTACCTTCTACTGCAGCCCTGGTAACTGAAACCCCTTTGCCGTGTGAATCAGCTGTGCTAAAAAACACCAGGAAATAAAGCACAGGAAAGAGTAGGGGCGGATGGGTGGGGCCAAATACTCACCGGAACTACCGGGTCTCTCGAACCGGTCCAAACCGGTAGAATCCCACTCCTGATAATAGCCCAGACTTCACAATTGTTGATGAGGTGGTAAGTCAAGGCCTACCTGTAATGCTCTCCCCTTTTTCTCTGGTTGAACGATGAATGTCTTCTCCATTTGTATCCTCTCTTCTTCTTCCCCACAGTGGCTGCCATCATACTCTTCTTCACGATACAAAGCCCGCACAACATACCTCTGACGGAAGTCATCGGCCCGGCATGGCTCATGCTGCTCCTTGGAACGGTGCACTGCCAGATTGTCTCCACAAGGACCCCCAAATCCTCCACAAACACCGGCGGGAGAAGGAGGAGGTATATTTGTGGTGGGCCTGGGCTGGGTTTGTGCAGGTCTTTGCTTTAGTTTAGTGGTGGCTAACTTTTTTGGGCTCCTGGGCCAAAAATTGTGCACGCGCTTGCATGCTCACACTCACGTGCCAGCACCCAGAAGGCAATGTGCGCTCCCCACGCCCCCTACTCATGCACGCGCAATCCACCCACCCGCCCTGCTCCGCCCCTTTACCTGCACTGTGCCTCACAGCTGATTTTCAGCCATGCGCCTCACAGCTGATTTTTCGGCCTCCAAAAGGCTTGAGGAAGGCTTCTACAGGCTTCTGCAAGCTTTGTAGGTCGAAAACTAGCCCCGTTTAGTCACTTCCTGTTTTTCGAAAATACCGGACAAAAAGACAGTAATGAAAATGGGATTATTTTCTTGCTTCAATTAACCAAGCCATTGTTCAGCTGTAAACATACCCAATGGGTAAACTCTGTCCATGCTATGCGGCTAGTTAATTATCTTTACAAAATACCTCCGTTTACAATTTCAAGGAAATTAAGGAAAGCAGCACACTTGGAAGTGCATCGCGAAGGGGATGGCTCTAGCACGACCGATAACACCCAGGAAGGATCTGTCCAGAGTTACGGCACCACCACCTCTTCTAGTCTTGGCGCTGTCTTCAAGGAACTGTGGCACGCTACTTTCTTTTTATCAGGGTTGGTATATTTTAAGTCAAGCCTTGGTTTGTCTTAAATGATGGACTGTTCATTTCTCTAACATCATCCTATCAAAATTTGTTTGAGTCCCCCGTGATTTTGTTTTCTATACTTCACTTGGAGACCAGTAGGAGAAAAAGGAGGCAGCAGGTTCTCAAAGTCCATGAAAATATGTTGATTCTGTTCTAAACCTGCTAATTATTTTTCAGTTGAGTTTCTTATTTTAGTGCATTTGTTGTTAAATTAGGGTTTTTCGGTCTCCGTTAGTTCCAGCAGGCGATAAAAGACAGTTTGATCTAGTGGTCAAGGTATTAGGCTAAGAAGCAGGAGGCTGTGAGTTCAAGTCCCGTCTTAGCCATGAAAGCCAGCTGGATGACATTGGGCCAATCACCAGTTGATGGTGAATTCTAGTCCCACCTTAGTCATAAAAGCTCGCTGGGTGACTTTGAGCCAATCACCAGGAGAGGGTAAATTCTAGTCCTGCCTTTGTCATGAAAGACAGCTGGATGATTTTAGGCTAGTTACTCTCAGCCCAATCTACCTCACGGGATTGGTGTTGTGGGGAAAACAGGAAGAGGAAGTTGTGTTAGTTATGTTCATTAGCTTGAGTTATTTCTAAAAATAAGGAAGGCTGGATACAAATAAATAAGATTCACCTTTGTTTTGCTTTTCCTTAACTTACTTATATCTATTAAAGAAGTACACTACCCTTGTGTCAGGGAAACATTAAACATACATTTAGAAATGAATAGATTGCAGGAAGAATTTCTTTTGGGTTTTCAGGTTCTGACTGGTTAAAGCAGTGGTAGTCAACCTGGTCCCTACCGCCCACTAGTGGGCGTTCCAGCTTTCATGGTGGGCGGTAGGGGTTTTGTCCCCTACTTTATAAATCACCATTACTGTGGAACCGGTGGGCGGTTAGAGAAAATTTTACTATTAACAGATACAAAAGTGGGCGGTAGGTATAAAAAGATTGACTACCCCTGGGTTAAAGAGTGACCTATCAGAATCACTTGGAGATATCTATCTATCTATCTATCTATCTATCTATCTATCTATCTATCTATCTATCTATCTATCTATCTATCTATCTATCTTATCTATCTGTCTGTCTGTCTGTCTGTCTGTCTATCTATCTATCTATCTATCTATCTATCTATCTATCTATCTATCTATCTATCTATCTATCTATCTATCTATCTATCTATGTCTATCTATCTATCTATCTATCTATCTATCTATCTATGTCTATCTATCTATCTATCTATCTATCTATCTATCTTATCTATCTATCTTATCTATCTATCTGTCTATCTATCTATCTATCTATCTATCTATCTATCTATCTATCTATCATCTATCTATCTATCTATCTATCTTTACTTCACCACAATTGAGAATTACGTATGTTGATTTCAATATAGGATAAATTGTAGGGGTGGCACAGACATATGATTCATTTTTTTTTTTTTACTTCCACCCAGCACATTATTTCATTACGCATGGCCATACCATTGTTTCACATTTTGTAATTTTCTTTTCCAATATGGCGTTATGGCTAATCAGTAAAATATCCTCATCATTAAGAATTATTTCATCATCCAGAATTATTCAGCTGAACTGATGTTGCCTTGATTATTAATTTTTTGGTGTAAGTTTCCCTCTTATTCAATATGTAGGTCTTAGCTCAGTGGTGATTGAGTGAGATTAAAGATTTCCTATGTTTACATAGGCAAATTTACGCATAATGTAAATATTGCCTCCAACTACATCAGGGGTGTCAAACTCACATCGTCAGGTGATGTATCATGACTTTTTCCCACTTTGCTAAACCAGGTGTGGGCCTGGCCAGCGCGTGATGCATCCAGCCCGCAGGCTGCGAGTTTGACAGCCTTCAGCTACATCATTGGCAACTAGGTTTATATATCCTAAATCAATAATTAATTTGTGACAGTTTAATAGCACACGTAGTATAAATTAACATACAGTATATTACCATGTTTCTCTGAAAATAACACCCTGTCTTATATTTTTTTTGCCACCAAAAAAGGCACTAGGTCTTATTTTCAGGGGATGTCATCCACTGACTAACCTCACTTGTGCGCGTTGCCCCCAGCCTCCTTTTTGCTGTCAGAGGCCTTCAGGAACTTTTTCTGTGGTCAGCAAGGCTTTCCTGAAGGCCTCTGCAACCAATACGGGAGCTGTGGATCGATCCAAAGCTTTGTTATCAGCTTCAGGAAAGCCTTGCCAGCTGCAGAAGAAATGGGCCGGCAAGGCAGGTGTCAGGGTGTGTGAGGCCTGGCTAGAACTGTCCAAAGGTAAGTAGTAGGGCAGCTCCACCCCCTCCCCCAATCCCCACCCTAACTTAATTTTTACCCGTCCACTCTAGAGTGGATGGGATTTAACTAGGGCTTATTTAGTGGGTAGGGCTTATATTGGGCATGTGTAGAAATCAAACTAGGACTTACTTTCAGGTAGGTTTTATATTCAGGGAAACTGAAATTTTTATAATATAAAAATTGTATATTATAAAATTATAAATGATATATTACTTAATATAAATACATTATTCATAATAAATATACTGTCAGCTTTTATCCTAAGAATTTTATTCTTGCCTTTTTTTCTCTTTGCATGAAAGGGAAATGGGATTGGGAAATAGGATCAGGAAAATGTCTTTACCCCAATAATACCTACTTCATATATTTGGTTTGCCTCTAGAGCAAAGAAAGCAAAGAACTCCATAGACAAATCCACCGAAACCGACAACGGGTATGTTTCCCTCGATGGAAAAAGGACAGGTAGAAACAACGAAGATGCTTTGCAATCCCATGAGCCCCTGCCTGAGGCCGTCCGAGCAGAAGAACCCAGCTGGAATATCGGAACTGCCCGAAATACATACAACACTCCGAATCACAAGGTGAGTCCTTTATTAGGGGACTGGAGGCTAAAACATACCAAGAACGGTGGCTGGAATTGGGTATGTCTAGTTTAATGAATGAGGGGGCTGGATGGAGTCACTGAAGCAGTCGGCGTGAGCTTAAATGGACTGCAGAAGATGGTAGAGGACAGGAAGGCCTGGAGGAACGTTGTCCATGGGGTCGTGATGGGTCGGACACGACTTCGCAACTAACAACAACAACAGAAGTTTAATGAAAAGAAGGACTAGGGTGATATGATAGCAGTCTTCCAATATCTGAGGGGCTGCCGCAAAGAAGCTATTCCCCAAAGCACCTGAGGGCAGGACAAGAAGCAATGGGTGGAAACTAATCAAGGAGAGAAGCAACCTAGGAAAAATTTCCTGAAAGTGAGAATAATTAACCAGTGGAACAACTTGCTTCCAGAAGTTGTGACTGCTCCAAAACTGGAATTTTTAAAGAAGAGATTGGACAAGCATTTGTCTAAAATGGTATAGGGCTTCCTGCCTGAGCAGGGGGTTAGACTAGAAGATCTCCAAGGTCCCTTCTGTCTTTATTTTGTCTTCATGATATCAGACGCTGTCTGTGAGGGAAGTGTGCGGTCTTTCAGTTGGGCAGATAAATAAATTTAGGACAGGAAGAAAGTAATGATGCAATAGAAACAGGAATGAGTAGGGTCTAGGATGGGTGTCAGCAACCTGTAGCTCTGGAGCTGCATGCGGCTCTTTGGGCCCTCTGCTGTGGCTCCCTGTTGGGTGAATCCACCACTGGCTGGCCCTGCCCCTCGCCCTCCCCTCCCAGTCACTCCTCGCCTGGCCTGAGAAGGTAAAACACAAAAAACAGAAATGAGGGAGGGAGAGAGAGAGACTCACAGAAAACACTGGGAGCAACAAAACCTGGGTAGGTGTGGCAGGTGAGGTCATGTGACTGGGTGGGAGTGACGTTGAGTTGGCCACACCCACCCAGGTTTTGAGGCTCATGGGGTTTTATTTTCTGTGGGAAACAGGTCCAAATGGCTCTTTGAGTGTTTAAGGTTGCAGACCCCTGGCCTAGGAAGAAAGCTTTCTGCTATTGTCTTGGCGTGTGGAATATTGTTCCCCTGGAGATGAAATGGGGCCCCAGTCTCCTTGCCTTCCAGAAAAGAGTTGGACCAGGGTGGCCTTGTATGGGCAGCTGAGAGGACCACACAGCCATGGGGTGGGTTAGTACCCTGAAAGCCCTCCCTTCGCCCTTTAACTAACTTTAATGCTGCAGAAGGAGTGGAAGAACTGGGGGTGGAGTCAAAAGAGGAATCAGCCTAGAATCCCCTATGTAGCCACAAGCGAACTAAGCCCAACCTCCCTTGAATTCTGTGATCTAACTCCCAAGCAGGTGCTGTTTGTTGAGAATACTGAGTAGCAGTTAATAAGTCTTAACTGTTGTGGATCTTTCACACCTGACCCCTTCCTTTTAAATTTTTTAGCTTTTGCATATTTATAGTTTTAATGGTTTAATGCCTGCACCCGAAGTCCCTTTTTGGGTGGTTCAAAAAACAAACTAAAATAAAATAAAATAAAACAGTGGGCAGGGGTCAAGTCCGAAACAGGCATGTTCCCAGACACCTAGCCTGTGAATGTGTTTTGTTGGAGGATGTGATTTATGACACACCCAGAGGGGCACGGGAAAACAGGGTCATAGGTGATAGTAAATTACGTGTTTTAGAGTTGGCTTCATACAGGTTAGTGCCGGACTTGTTGCTCCTACTAAATCTTTTGAATTCTTTTGAAGCTAGGCTCGAGGCTCATGATTTAATTAGGGTAATCCTCGGAATCCTGACAGCAGGATTTTCTCCTTTTATCTTTTTTTTTCCTTGAGTTTCGGCTGTACTTTTTAAAAACATCTTAAGCTGATTTTTTAAGACTTACAATTAGCATCCCGAGTCTAAAAATGGCAGGTAAGGAGGTTCACAATTAAGGGCAATTGATCAGTAGGAGCTGCTTGGCTATGGAGTGCAGCCCAATTTTCTCTAGAATTGTATATTAAAGTTGTATGCATTGTTTGAGATAAATAAAATGTGCTTTTATTGATAGTAAATTCTTCTTCGGTTTAGGACGGTCACCGAACAATGACAAATATATCGGACGAAGTTTCTAGTGAAGAGGGGCCGGAAGCCAGCTACCCTTTACGACGGAATGCCGAACGCCCTTCCAGCGATTGTGCGTTTCGAAATAAGAAATCTCACCATTATAAGAAACATTACCCTGTAGAGGTAACAACGCTTTTGCATTGTTGTCGAGTAAAACTTTTAAGGACATCAAATTCATGGGTACTTTTGGGGCGTGTAAAAGCCGTGGTGGTTAGAATGTAGTATTGCAGGCTAACTCACCGCCCACTGTCAGGAATTCGATCCTGACCGGCTCAAGTTTGACTCAGTCTTGCATCCTTCTGAAGTGCGTAAAACGAGGACCCAGATTGTTGGGAAGTAATTTGCTGACACTGTAAACCACTTAGAGAGGGCTGTAAAGCACTGTGAAGCGGTATATAAGTCTAAGTGCTATTTGTTGTAGCCTGCCTGCGGCTGATGGAGCTGTCAGCAGAGTCGGACAGTAGTGAGGAGGTTGGGAAGGAACCTGGGCCAGTCTTGGAGGCTGAGGAAGGTGAGGGCTCTGCATTGGAGGCAGAGTTGGGGCCAGGGCAAGCTGGCAGTCATCATCTGCCTTCAAACTCGGATAGCAGTGAGGCGGGGGAGCTTCTGGAACTGGTTCCCAGCCAGTATGCGCAGGGATACTAAAGACAAGAACAATTGAGAAAGCAGGGTCAACTCAGGAGTAAGGCGGAGATGATTGGCCCCTTCCATAGGCCATAACAGAAGAGAGAATGGGACGTGAGCTTTTGCAGGAAGCAATTAGTTTGTCTGGTCGATTCAAGCTTTTAAAAGTTCTGTTTGACTCTGTGTCAAGTTTGGTCTTGCCTTGCGTTTGGCCATTCGTTATCTGGCCGCATTCCAAGTGTGATAAGGTGGGTGTTTATAAACATTCTCCTGAAAGACTGTTTGTGAAGCCTTGCAGGCTGTGAATGAACATAATTCACAGCCGTGGAAATAAAAGAGGTTTTGCCAGGACTAAGATTGTATTCTATGCTGTCATGCCCCTGTTGCAAGCTGACTTGGAGGAGGAAGCCGAACAACTGACAGGGAGTGGGAGTGTGGCTCCATTGGCTGTGGAAGAAACTGGGGAAGGGCAAAGTTTGGCTGGGCAGAGCAGGGAGAGGTAGAACAAGGGAGAGGGAATTCAGAGGAAGACCAAGGCCCACCCTTCTTCATCCTAGGGCATGCAGGGAGGAATGGAGAAGAGAGCAACGTGGGTTGTGTGGCTTACGGGGGAGGAAAGGGTCCTGATTCCCTTCATTAGCTGCAGCTGGGAACACAGTGTATAAAAAATGGCAAGCTGCGTGCAGCAAGCTGTTGGGAGCAAACATGACTTTATCTTGTATCGTCATGGCTTATCTGTGTTCCTGGTGTCTTTCCAACTGTGTGAGTTTTGCCGTACTTTCAAGTTTGAAATTCCTGCTCCTGCCCTGTCAAATTAATTACTTCAGTTTGGTGTGTTTGGATTTTAAGTTTCAGTTTGTATGTACCTTGTTTTGGACTGAATTTTCTACAGTCAAAGGCTGTTCCTGGGAGAGTTTTTCTCCAGCCCGAAGGTAACCTGGACATTGGGGGCAAAGTTGGAGATAATAAATGGACTCTTATTGCTTATCTGACTGTGTTGCCTTTGTGCCACGCCCCTTTGGGTCATCACATATGCTTTCTAAGGAAGCCTAGATCAGAACATTATTACTATTTCCCCAGCCTGACAGAGTGGAGGGATCAAGTTTAGAACTAGCCTGGAATCACTGCACAATCACAAAACTCCTAGGGCTGACCTTCCCTAGCTTCCTTGGAGCCTTATTTAATTGTTCCCAGGTTTAGGCTGTCAGATCGGGAAGATTCCTGTATTATAGGCTGAACATAATGAAGTAGTTGGCTCAAACTGTGCACAAATGGGTTGGGCTGTTCCTTCAATAATCTCCTTATGGCTGTTCCTGTATTCTTCAGGATGTCCCCAAATCAGGCACCAGTTGCAGCTCGAGGTGTTCAAGTTCCAGACAAGATTCAGAAAGCACCAGGCCAGAATCGGAGACAGAAGACGTCCTGTGGGAGGATTTTTTGCACTGTGCCGAATGCCGCTCATCCTGTACCAGCGAGACCGACGCAGAGAATTCACAGGTCAACTCTTGCATGAAGAAGGAATACAGAGATGACCCCTTCCATCCGGTGAGTAGGAGAATAAATGATACAACAGGATAAACAAGAGTTGGAAGGGACCTTGAAGGTCTTCTAGTCCAACCCCCTCCTTAGGCAGGAAACCTCACACCACTTCAGACAAATGATTGTCCGGTCTCTTCTTTTTTATTATTTATTGTTTTATCATAAAAAATAGAATACAAAACAGAGAAACAAAACAAAAGCGTACAAACAAAAGCGATGGGAAAGTGATGAAATAATTTTAATATTTAACATGTAGGATCAACTGTGGCTGGGTGCTGAAAATACCGTATTTATCGGCGTATAACACGCACAGGCGTATAACACGCATCTTCATTTTAAGGGGGAAATTTCAGGGGAAAAAATTTAAAAAAATTCTGCCTGCCTGCCTTAGTTTCTGGTTGTTTGGGAGCAGCTTCGGCTGAGAATAATAACTATTCGCCTCTTTTACTCAGCCGAAGCTGTTCCGATTCAACCATTAACGAAGGCAGGCAGGCAGGCAGAACTGAGCACTGCGGGCGGGCGGACGGGGTGGGGGTGGGGGAGAGGCGACAGGAAAAGCCCCCCCCCCCCCTTCTTTGAAGCAGTTTCTTCCTGTGCTGGTGGAGGAGCGAGAGAGCAACTGAGAGAGCTGACCCAGAGAGAAGGACAGGCTTCGGTTGCTTCCTCCCTCCCCTTCTTTCATTTGTGTCCTTGATCCCCGATCCCAGCAGCATTCACCGAAGGCTTCTTAACATTATATCGGCGTATAACACGCATACATCATTTGCCCCCTATTTTCAGGGGGAAAAAAGTGCGTGTTATACGCCGATAAATACGGTATATATATAGATACACACACAGAGACAGACAGACAGACGAGAGAGACAGAGACAGACGGACAGACAAAGAGAGATAGAGACAAAGACAGAGAGAGAGGAGAGAGACAGAGAGAGAAAGACAGAGAGAAAGAGACAGAAAGAGATATAGAGACACAGGAGAGACAGAGAGAGACAAAGACAGTGAGAAAGAGACAGAGAGAGACAGAGGAGAGACAGACAGAGAAACAGACAGAGAGATAAGACAGAGGAGAGGCAGAGAGAGAGAGAGATTTTGTTGGTGTGTGTATGTATGTATGTATGTATGTTGTCCAGTCTCCTCTTAAAAATCTCCAGTGTTGAAGCACCCACAATTTCTGGAGACAATTCGTTCCATGGATTCATTGCTCTAACTGTCAGAAAATTCCTCCTTAGTTCCAAGTTGCTCCTCTCCTTAGTTTCCACCCATTGCTTCTTGTCCTTCAGGGGCTTTGGAGAATAGCTTGACTCCCTCTTCTTTGGGGCAGCCCCTCAAATATTGGAACACTGCTATCATGTCTCCCCTAGTTCTTCTTTTCATTAAACGAGACATCTTCGTATGTTTTATCCTCCAGTCCCTTAATCCTCTTTGTTGCTCTTCTCTGCACTCTTTCCAGAGTCTCAACATCCCTTTTATATGTATATTTATCTGGAGCTTGCCAAATCCGTCCGAAGCTATAATTTTTGCTTGAGTGTTCACCTGCTAGTGACCATGTCACCATTGTTATTGCTGTTGTTATGGCTTTACAGAACCTTTTATGGCCCCTTTTTAAAAATACACATATTTTTGGCAGGGTCATTTGCCCTGGTTCCATAGCTCGAACCCCGGGTTGGAGAAAGTTAGCGCCATTGTGTGGGAAGGCAACGACTGCAAAAAGGCAGATATGTCCGTGCTCGAGATCAGTGGCATGATCATGAACAGGGTAAGTCTGGAGTTTTTTTTTTTTTTAAACTTCTAAAATTTGCCCCAATGAAAGAAATGATGCTTTTAAATGGCTCTAATGGAAGTCTAAGAAGTGTGGCTGTTTCCTTACATTTTAAGAGCTGTTGGGGTGTACTAACTTCTTGCTTAAACTGGCCGCTGGGAGGTTTCAGCCCCAAAATGAAATGCAAAATGTGAACGGAGACTCCCTGACTCGATGCCCAATCAATTTTTTTTTTAAAAAAATTGACTGAAGAAGTTACTTGGATGGGTAACAAAAGTCTCAGTTAAATAATCTTTAGTCCTGTTGCCATGATTTGACCTTTTTAGACACTTTTGGCCTGGATAATGGAATCTTCGTTGACATTCTGCAAATGCTGTTTAATGAGGATAGGATACATAGGAAGGGGAGGGAGAGAGGAGGGAGTTTAGGATACGATAGGGGATGGGGAGGGAAGGGAAGGGAGAGGAGCAGGAGAGGAGGAGAGCAGGGGGAGGGAGGACAGGATACAATAGGATAGGGGTGGGGAGGAAAGAGGGGAGGGAAGATAGGATAGGGGTGGGGAGGGAAGGGAAGGGAGAGGAGAGCAGGGGGAGGAGAGGATGTGATAGAGGGTGGGGAAGGAATGGAAGGAAGCGGAGAGGGATGGTGGGGGGAGGATAGGACAGGGAATGGGAGAGGGAGAGCAAAGGAGACTTTATTTAGCCAAGTGTGATTAGCCACACAAGGAATTTGTCTCCGGTGCAGAAGCTGTCAATGTACATGCAAAGCAACAGGGTAATAATAATCATAATATACCAATGCCAATGTTCTCATTTTAGCTTTTACACTTTCATTGAGCCGAATTCAGATTTCCTTTTCATGCATTGAAAACCATTTCCAGAACAGGGTTTGTTAAAATGCACACTATTACCGTCTCGGCGTTGTTTTTGTTTGTCTTTAGGTGAACAGCTACGTTCCAGGAATCGGATACCAGGTTTTTGGCAATGTGGTCTCCTTAATCCTGGGATTGACGCCGTTTGTATTTAGACTTTCCCAAGAAAAAGACCTGGAACATCTAGCCACGCATACGGCTACCGAACTCTATGCTATTGCCTTCGGGTCCAATGGAAACATCATGGTGATAGCCATGGTTATTGTGTGCTTTGTAGTTCGTGTTTCCCTGGTGTGGATATTTTTCTTCCTTTTATGTGTGGCTGAGAGGACTTACAAGCAGGTAAGCCTTAGCACCAACCCCACCTCCAAAGCTCATTTTTGGGGAAAAAAAATTGACATGCTGGAATTTTCTATGATCTCTGCTATGCTTACGTCTTGGATATACTGTTTCCCAAAAAATATGACCTACCCTGAAAGTCCTAGATTGATTTTTACACATGCGCCTAATATAAGTCCTACCCCCAAAGTAAGCCCTAATTAAGATCCCACCCACTCCAGAGTGGATGGGTAAAAATTAAGCTAGGGTGGGGATTGGGGGAGGGGGTGGAGCTGCCCTACTACTTACCTTTGGACAGTTGTAGCCAGGCCTCGCACACCCCGACACCTGCCTGGCCGGCCCATTTCTTCTGCAGCTGGCAAGGCTTTCCTGAAGGCCTCTGGAGCTGATAACAAAGCTTTGGATCGATCCACAGCTCCCGTATTGGCTGCAGAGGCCTTCAGGAAAGCCTTGCTGACCACAGAAAAAGTTCCTGAAGGCCTCTGCCAGCGAAAAGGAGACCAGGGGCAACGCACGCAAGTGAAGTTAATCAGTGGATGACATCCCCCGAAAATAAGACCTGGTGCCTTTTTTGGTGGCAAAAAAATTATAAGACAGGGTCTTATGTTTTGGGAAACACGATAGTGCACTGTCTCTAGTGCTACTTTAACATGCTTATTTATTATAATGCATATTCTGCCCTTAAAAAATATTTATTTCCTAGCATGGCTTGTAATTCAGTCATTGAAAATAGAAATTCTTAAAATGTCCAAGGGTTATCTGGCTACAGCTATTATTATTGCATACGATTATAGGGCAGGTAAAGAGAAAATATCTGACATAAGTCAACTCACAGTGTAAACAGTGTAATTAAAGGGGGAAAAAAGTACACTTAGAAAGCTGTATCATAAACAAAACATTTCCCAAAAACAAATTAATTAGTGAAGGTCACCTCCCTTGCTCCTTTGTACAGGTATAATATAGGTATTAGCTGGTTCAATAGCCGTAACTATGAGAGGTGATCTTGGAGTCCTAGTGGACAACCACTCAAATAGGAGCCAGCCGTGTGCAGCAGCTGCCAAAAAAGCCAATGCAGTTCTAGGCTGTATAAACAGAGGGATAGAATCAAGATCACGTGAAGTGTTAATACCACTTTATAAGGCCTTGATAAGGCCAAACTTGGAATGCTGCATCCAGTTTTGGTTGCCACAATGTTAAAAAAAAAAGATGTTGAGACTCTAGAAAGAGTGCAGAGAAGAGCAACAAAGATGATAAAGGGACTGGAGGCTAAAACATATGAAGAACAGTTGGTGGAATTGAGTATGGCCAGTTTAGAGAAAAGGACTGAGGGGCCCAGGATAGTAGTCTTCCAATATTTGAGGGGCTGCCCCAAAGAAGAGGGGGTCAATTTATTTTTCAATGCACCAGAAGGCAGGACAAGAAGCAACTGGGTGGAAACTAACCAAGGAGAGAAGCAACATAAGAACTAAGGAGAAATTTCCTGACAGTGAGAACAATTAATCAGTGGAACAACTTGCCTCCAGAAGTTGTGGATGCTCCAACACTGGAAATTTTTAAGAGATTGGACAACCCCACCCCACCCAAATGATATTTCTGGCCTGAGAAGGGGGTTGGACTAGAAGACCTCTATAGTCACTCCCAACTCTGTTATTCTGTTCTGTTCTTTGCAACAACAACAAAATCAATTTAAATATTGGTTACTTATGTCAGCAATCCGTTCTTGTAAACCAGGCCTTGAGTTAACCCATTCGTTATTGCAGAATAAGTATTAGCACAAGCAGATCCCTTGTGTGCCTTTTGAGGTCTTGGGAGATTCCTGCTATGGGGGATCTAATAAAGAAAGAAGCATCCTTAACACGCAAGAATCGGTAGGATAAATAATTATGGTTTGCATTCTGCTTTTCCACCCTGAAAGGAATCCAATGAAGAATGTCACTTGTTTCATTTCAAACTCTTTTATGTTTTACAGAGATTGCTTTTTGCCAAACTTTTTGGTCATTTAACATCTGCCAGGAGAGCTCAGAAGTCAGAAGTACCTCATTTCCGGCTAAAAAAAGTCCAGAATATTAAAATCTGGCTTTCCCTTCGCTCCTACCTAAAGGTTTGTGGTTATTTATTTATTTCAACTTCTGCCTAAATTCATGCCATAGAACAGTGGGGTCTAACCTTTTTGGGCTCCTGTGCCAAAAATTGTGCGTGCGCTTGCACTCACACACTTGCGTACCAGCATACAGAAGGCAATGCACGCGCCTCCCCACGCCCCCTGCGCACGCGTGTGCAACCTCCCCACCGCTGCCCGCTTACCTGCACTGCGCCTCACAGCTGATTTTTCGGTTGGTTTGAGGCCTTTTTTGGCCTCCCACAGGTTTGAAAAAAGTCTGTAGGCTTTGCAGGTCGAATAATAGGCCCGAAGTGACAAAACGGGCCTATTATTCATCCTGCAAATCCTGCAGAAGTTTTTTTGAAGCTTCTGGGAGGCCGAAAAAGGTCTCAAACCAGCTGAAAAATCAGCTGTGAGGCACGCGCATGCGCAGTGAGGTAAGTCTGTCTGCGGCTCGTGTGCTGGCACAAATGGCTCTGCGTGTTACCTGTGGCACGCGTGCCATAGGTTCGCCATCACGGCCATAGGAGATACTATTGATGCAGCTGAGGCTTAAACTGTCCCTTTGTTTTCCCCCCACACACACAATGTAGGCAAGTTGTTAAGTGACTTTTGTCCCATTTTACGACCTCGCTTGCCACCACTCTTAAGTGAATCACTGCAGTTGTTATATTAACAACACGGTTGTTAAGCGAATCTGGGCTCCCCCATTGACTTGGCTTGTCCGAAGGTCATAAAAGGGGGTCATGTGATCCTGGGACACTGCGACTGTCTTAAATACGAGTCACTTGCGAAAGCGTCTGAATTTTGATCATGTCACTGCAGGGAAGCTACAATGGTCCTTAGTGTAACAAAATTTCAGTGCCGTTGTTATTTTCAGTGGCCGCTAAATGAATGGTTGTAAGTCCAGGATTACCTCCGGGGGTGGGGTTCAACCAGTATAACAATAGGTTCAGTGAGCGTGCACTTCGTGTTTGCAAACCGCCCATTTTCATCTCTAAAACTTACTTTCCGCTGCAGCCCCAGTGAGTGAAGCAGCTGAGTGAAACAGCCGCGCAAATCAGATGAGCTGCAAAACACGGAAATAAAGAACAGACTAGGGCAGGGGTCACCAAGCTTTTGGACCTCAGGGACCACCAGACTCATAATTTTAAATCCCGCAAACCAGAGACCCTGGGAAAATCCCAAAACAAGTCTACAGGAAAATTCCCCACCCTGTTTTCCTACCAATTGATCGTTCTTTATTTGGGATCGCAGGATACCATCTCCAGCTCTGTTCTCAGGGGGAGAGAGAGAGAGAGAGAAAGACTTTTGGCTTCATGCAAGGAAAACAGCAGAAGCAGCAGAAGTCTTTCTTTCTCTTTCCCAAACTCTACCATAAATGAGTCTTTGCCGGTGCAGCCTCTTGGAGCAGGATGCCTTGCGGATGCCAAAGACTCATTTCTGGCAGAATTTGGGTGAAGAAAGAAAGACTTTTGCTGCTTTCCTTGCATGCAGCCAAAAGCAGAAGAAGAAAGAAGCAGAAAGAAGCAGCCCAGTGGACAGGCGGGGCATGTGGGGCAAGTTCTCCCCCTCCGCCCTTTCCCCCCTTCCCTCATTACCTAGTGTTGTATGCAATGCAAGCCTTGTGTTCCCGTGGGCCATGTGTTTGGCGCAGCTTTGTGTTCCCACGGGCCATGTGGTTGGTGCAGCCTTGTGTTCCTGCACAGCCTGGATTATCGCTTTGGGGGTGACATTTCTCAGCGGACCAACAACATTTTCTCATGGACCAAAAGTGGTCCCCCGGCCCACTGGTTGGCGACCACTGGAGTAGGGCAGGGGCATGTGGAGGGGGCCAACTAATCACTGGAACAACCGCGGTACAAACCGGCTGAATCCCACCCCTGATTACCTCTGTAGAATTAAAGGCACAATAGAATGCAAAATGGGTCAAAAAATAGAGGTCTTCATCTTGCACTGGATAGACAATGGCCAGAACGATGATGATGAAGAAGAAGAACCGACGAACTGAACCCTGCAGCAAACAATGCACTATGTTGTACGCACAAGTTACCAAGTTTGCTGTATATTAATAGGAGGCCAGGTCAGCTCGTTTCCCAGGTTCTACGACAGTTTGTTCATCCATCCCACACTCACCGTTTATTTCTATTTACAGAGACGAGGTCCTCAGCGTTCGGTGGACGTCATAGTTTCCTCTGCTTTCTTGTTGACTATTTCTGTGGTGTTTATCTGCTGCGCACAGGTAAGGAACCTGATGGGAACTGAATTCCTTCCGGTTCAAAAAAATCGCAGTTAAGAAACCTAAGTAGAAATGTTCCTCCGTGCCTCCTCAGATGGACATCACAGGCCTAAATGCATCCAGAACCCCAAAGCAAAAGTAGATTCAAACAGAGGTGTGGTTAGCTGGATTAGTTGTTTTTCAGCCTTGTCAATCAATCAATCAATCAGAATAGAGCTGGAAGGGATCGTGGAGGTTTTCTAGTCCAACCCTCTGCTCCAGCAGGAGACCTTATACCAGTGGTGGGTAACCTTTTTGGGCTCCTGTGCCAAAAATTGTATGCGTGCTCACGCTCGCGTGCCAGCACCCAGAAGGCAATGCTTGCGCCTCCCCATGCCTCCTGCACATGCGCGCGCAACCCCCTCCCCACACCGCCACCCCCCCCCTTACCTCCACTGCACTTCATAGCTGATTTTTCGGCTGGTTTGAGGCCTTTATTCGGCCTCCCGGAGGCTTGAAAAAAGCCTCTGCAGGCTTTGCAGGATAAATAATAGGCCCAAAGTGATGAAACGGCTTGCATGTCTACTCAGAGATAAATCACATTAAAATTGAATGGATCGATCCATAGGGAAGTGAAGATTTCACAGGATTGCAACGGAGGTCGTTTGTTTGTGAATTTTATTTGGTGAAAGATAACTTCGGTGCTGATGGAGAATTAACCCCTCTGTTTTGTTTTGGTTTTTTGCCTTATTTCAGCTGCTTCACGTCCATGCGGTCTTCCTTGACTGCCATTATAATTGGGAACTTGTCATATGGTGCATTTCCTTAACCCTTTTCCTTTTGAGATTTGTGACACTCGGATCCGAAACAAGCAAGAAATACAGCAACACATCAATATTGCTTACTGAACAGGTGAGAACTTTTACCAAATAAGACTTAGAATAACTGTACAGCCCTCAAAGAGTCACCACCTCCAATATACACTATGTAAACATGACAAAATAAATAAATAAATAATGCATGTACTCATATATATTCCATGATGCAGAAAAACAACGCAGTCTTGTTCGGATGTATACATGTACGTGGTGAGAAAAACAAACCCTGCGAGTTTACAGATGGACGGCATAGGGAACAAAGCTATTCCAGAATCTGGAAGTCCTGCTAGAAATACTTCAAAACCTCCTCCCAGAGGGGCGCAACAGAAACAGGCCGTGAAGTGGGTGTGTGGGGTCTCTAACAATGCTTCGAGCTCTAAGCACATAGCGCTTATAAGCAGTATCCTGAATAACAGGAAGCAAGCTTTCTTTAATCATCTCCATTGCCCTCACCGCTCTCTGTAGGGACTTTCTATCTGAGGCACTGCAGCCACCAAACCAAAGAAGGATGCAGTTTGTTAAGACGCTCTCGATTGTGCCTCTGTAAAAAGTGGCCAGGAAAGAAGGAGAAAGATGTGGTCTCCTCATCCGACGCAGGAAACGCAGATGCTCAAGATGAGGAGGCCGTGTTTTTCTCCTTCTGTCCTGAATCCCTGACTCATTCAGAAAGCAGTACATTGCAATTCTGCTTACAGTAGTTAACTTTTGGAGTCAGTTGGGTGCAGTGGTTAAGGCGTGTAACTGGGAGACCGTGAGTTCTACTTCCACCCTGGGCAAAAAGCTGGGTGACTTTGGGCCAGTCGCTTTCTCTCAGCCCTAGGAAGAAGCAGTGGCGAGCCACTTCTACAAATCTTGTCAAGAAAATAGCAGGGACTTGTCCAGGAAGTCTCTGAGAATTAAACACGACTGAACAGAAGGAAGAAAAAGTGAATTCTGAGTAGATATGCAGATGATTTGATAGAACATTAAAAAAAACACATTCAATTTGATTTTCATTTAAGGCTTCAACAAATAGGAAACAAAATACTGTATATCTATGGAAATTCAGTCATCCAGGTCATGGTTGTCCCAAAGGTGTTTTTTCAAGAGGCAACTGGACATTCTTTGTTTTTCCTTGAAGTCGTTTTGCTTTTCTTCCAAGAAGCTTCTTCAGTTCTGATTTCTGACAGAACTTCTGACAGAACTGAAGAAGCTTCTTGGACGAGAAGCGAAACATCTTCAAGGAAAAACAAAGAAAGTCCAGTTGCCTCTTGAAAAAGCACCTTAGGGAGCTAATAACTGTAGTTTTGATGCTCTGTCCTTGAAATTCTCTCCCTTGGAATAGAAGTGTCTTATAAGTACCAAAGGAAAGACTTTTATTAAAAACCTTTATTAAGCCTGTCAGCTCATTGTCTTTTGTTTAATCATTTTCCCCATTCTTCATAAATTCCTGTCTGAATTTAAACATTAATTTAATTTGCTTCATGAATTATACATCGCCCCGAGACTCTTGGGCTGAAGAGCCGGGTTGTTTATATAAATAAACATTTTTTAAAAAAAATGAAAATGAAAGATAAACACTATCCTTGTTTTAAAAACTGTACTACTTGAGGTGATTGTTTGTTTTAAGTGACACCCGTTTCTCCTCCCTGGGTTAGATAAACTTGTACTTGAAAATGGAAAAGAAGCCGAACAAGAAAGAAGAACTAACATTGGTCAACAATGTTTTAAAACTTGCGACAAAATTATTGAAGGTGAGAATTTTAAAAACGGAAACGATTTTGGTACTGATAAATGGATCGACCAGTTCCTTTTGAGATTGATGATCTCATTCCCCCTTTGTAGTTCTGTCAGTTCTCGGATTTAAATATATTTAAATATATTTCAGGGACGCGGTGGCTCAGTGGCTAAGATGCTGAGCTTGTCGATCAGAAAGGTCGGCAGTTTGGTGGTTCGAATCCCTAGCGCCACGTAAGGGAGTGAGCTCCCGTTCCTCGTCCCAGCTTCTGCCAACATAGCAGTTCAAAAGCATGTCAAAAAATGCAAGTAGAAAAATAGGGGCCACTTTGGTGGGAAGGAAACAGCGTTCCGTGTGCCCTCAGTGTTTAGTCATACTGGCAACATGACCACGAAGACGTCTTTGGACAGCACGGGCTCTTTGGCTTTGTAATGGAGATGAGCAGCGCCCCCTAGAGCCGGAAACTAGTAGCACGTATGTGTGAAGGGAACCTTTACCTTTAAATATATTTCCTCTTTCCAGGAATTGGACAATCCCTTCAGATTATATGGATTGACAATGAATCCTTTGCTCTACAATATAACACAAGTTGTTATTCTGTCTGCCGTTTCGGGTGTAATCAGCGATTTGCTCGGGTTTAACCTAAAGGTAACTTTCTCAATTTTGCCCTTAATTTATCTTTAACTTCCACAGGTTTTTTTTTTAAAAAAAGGTAACCATGATTCTCATTTATAAATATTGAAAACGCCTGTTGTTTTAAAATCATTGATTTGTTTCAGTCCCTAGTACCTGTTCTTTTCGGAGTGATATGAAACTATGCCGGCAACCATTGCATCGTATTATGAAATTTCTTTAATTTCAGTCCTAAATATTGATATGAATGTCTGGATACATAGAATGGTATTCCAGAGCTCGGGCTTAATTTTATTTATTTATTTGTTAATTTAGTTGCCTCCTGCCTCACTTTAAGGCTGCTGTTACAGCCATAAAAAGGAAATGAAAGGCATGTAAATAGCAGTAAAATAATAGGACTCACAAAATAAACAATGAAAAAAGAAACACAAGAATGAGATTGGACTAAGCTTTGACTAACACATGATTTATAATTTATTGCAATATTTATTGCTTTAAGTGGAAGCCATTATCTGCATCCTTCGAAGCTGTTAGATAATAGTTGGCTGGCTTAAATGATTGATCAACTTTCAGTGATAAGATTTTGTGACTTTTTCCAAGTGGGACTTTGAAAAAGAAAGCACTTTCTCAGCGTAATTGTATGCTTAGATTTTTCTATTGAGATTGTAATTATTCCCTCAACTCACCTTTTATAGAAGAGACTGTTTATAGTTTGGGGTTGAATTGTAGGGGCCTTGGTGTTTTCTTGGTGATTTTCTTGCAGCGTTTCATTACCCAATTAGGTAACATCATCAGTGGTAGAAAGGAGCGGGGTTTGTGGAGAGGAGGAGGAGGAAGAGGAGGAGAAGGAGAATGATAACAGTGTTTGTTGCAGAAAATCAAATCCAGAAAGCACATACAGATAACTGATTTAGTAGAATTCGTTAACTTCTTTATATACATAATAAGACATGAAATAAATTTACAATACCAACAGCAGATTTTTCCAACGTTGTGGAGAAGAGAGATTGTAAGTTCTTAGTTTCAGTTCAGCAGACAGACAAAACCAGATTTGTTTGCAGCTGCAGAGCTCAAAGCTGCAGAGCCACGCCCAAGCTCCTTCCAGTTTCAGTTTCCAATTCAGCTCCCATTGGCTGATCTGTTGCCATGCCTATTCATTGGCTGACCTTGTTACCATGTATCTGCCAGTTCATGAATATTCTGACAAATGAGGAGAAAAAAAGGGAGGATGAAGAGAAAGGAGGGGAGGAGGAGGAGAAAGAAAAAGGGAGGAGAAAGGAGAAAGAGGAGTGGATGGAGAAAGGAGGAGAAAGGGAGGTGGAAGAATAAGAAAAAACGAGAATGGAGAAGGACAAAGAGGAGGGAGGAGGAAGAGGAGGAGGAAGAAGAAGGGGGAACTGTGGGGTCTTCGGTGCTCTCTGAGCTTGGTTATTTTCTTGCAGACGTCTCATTACCCAATTAGGAAACACCATCAGTGCAGAACTGAGGTTACCTAATTGGGAATGAAACATCTACCAGCGCTGACAGAGCAAGTCACTCGTATAATTGGAGAACAAACCCTACTGTCTTACTAGCACTGATGAGGTTACTTAGTTTGGTAATGAAACGTTTGCAAGAAAACCACCCAGTTCAGAGAGCACCAAGGACACCCCCCCCCCCAGTAAGGAGCATTTGTTCCTTGCCAAGTTTCTATTGTCTTGGCACAGGTTCCATCCTCTGATTGCCAGAGGAGGACAAGTACACCACAAACGGCGGAACGATGATCCATCTTTGGTTTTACCACTGTTTCTGATTTCAGCTTTGGAAGATCAAATCCTGACCCTCTTCCAAGATGGGATGCCCACGTTGTGCTGAAGAAGACAACTGACAAAAACTGAACTGCCTCCGCGCAATGGCTGGATTCGCAATTTCTTTACGGACAACTTCGGAGGGAGAGAAGAAGAAGAAGAAGAAAAAAAAATACAAAACCCCGAAGTGTTTACAACTGGCAATCTAGTGCAATCTGAATATTTATTTTACCTTTTCGGGTTTTTTTTTTTTTTTTTAGTAAACTTTTGTTTTAGTTGACAGTGTGTTTGGTTCTGGATCTTCAACGGGCTTTGGTTACCAAAAAGGTCAATATTGTGAAAGAATGAAAGCCCCTTTTTAAGCTCAAGAAGTTCTGGTTACAAGCAAAGTGGCGCAGAAGTCACTTTCTCGAATAAAGTATTACCAAGTATTTAGAAAGTTTTATATACCACCCTCGAAAAGGGGGTCGTCGGCGCACCAGCATATTGTCGGTTACAGTAGAAAATTACGCTTCCTGTAACGATAACGCATTATGCCGGAGAGCTCATAGAAAGGAATAAAAATGTGGAGGTTTTTTTTGGGGAAAAAAAGCATCGATTCAAAATCCAGCAGCTTTCTTACTCAAGGGATTCCAGGATCCATAACGGGAACTGTTGTTTCAACATAGACCGAATCTCAACAAGGTGTTACTGAGCAAATCAACAAGTGCTCTTTCACGATGTTTCCTTTTTTTTTCTTTCTTTTTTAGCCGAGCAATAATTGTAAACTGTTACTACACTGTAAGATATTTTGATAAAAAGTAGCCGTGGTATTTATTTGAAAACGCGGAGCTGTTTGCCCAGCTCTCTGCCGCTGTATGTGCACTTTTGTGGTTATATATATATATATGTGGTGGGATTCAGCCGGTTCGGACCGGTTTGAGTGAACTAGTAGTTCCGGCGATTAGTTGGCCCCGCCCACCCACCCCTGCCGTAGTCTGTGTCAGTATTTTGCAGCCTAGCTGATTTGCCCAGTACTATGGATTGTCGCGGCTTAGCTCTTTTACTCACTGGGGCAGAAGGTAAATTTTAGAGCTAAAAATGGACAGTTTTCAAATGCGTGCATGCACAAAGCCCACGCTCACCAAACCGGTTGTTATACCGGTTGAATCCCACCACTGTATATGTGTGTGTGTCTGTGTGTGTGTATGTATACACACACACACACATAAACTAAACAGGATATATTATGGTGCACTGTGGGGCGATAATCTTGCCTTCGCGATTGGGCAACAAAACTGTGTGTATGCTCAACCCAAACATTGTTCCCCCCAACAGTACACCATAGTATATGTGACTTATACCACACAGAGGCTTTTAAAGTGAACTTCTTAATAAGGTGTGTGTGTGTGTTTTTAAATTATAGGATGAAACGCCGGTTTTTCCACCCTGTTCCTAACCCCTTCCCAGCGTACTTTGGAGTGAGCATATTTTTTTAAAAATCAGACTGCGGATTTTAAAAGTTCCCAATTTGAAACTGAAAGCACGGAGAGAAAAAGATTTTCTTCCTCCTTTTCAAATACACCACAGACTCAAATTTATTTCCGGTGCAAGGAAGAGCCATTGAACTGGGTTTGCTAAATAATATAAGCAATTGTGGATTATTTCAGGAACAGTCT